GCCACAACACCAGGGAGAAAGACTAGGTGGTTTTGGGGATCAAGAATATCTAGCTCAGTCATTTTCATCTGCTTCTTTATCCAAGCAACTCTCTCTGGAATTTGGCTTGGAATTGCCCCTCCATTCATTGATATTGATGCGCACTCTGAGTATGGACACCTCATCATCGAGTGCAATAAAGGCTCTGTCATTGCCTTCTACTGTGCCCTGGGATTCATGGGCTCTTTGGCCCTAGTGAGCTTCATCTTGGCTTTCCTGGCTAGGAACCTGCCTGACACCTTCAATGAAGCCAAGTTTTTGACCTTCAGCATGCTGATGTTCTGTAGTGTTTGGATTACCTTCCTACCTGTGTACCATAGCTCCAAGGGGAAGGTCATGGTGGCTGTGGAGATATTCTCCATCCTGACTTCCAGTGCTGGGATACTAGGCTGTATCTTTGCTCCCAAATGTTATATTATTTTAATAAGGCCAGATAGGAATACCCTGCAAGGCTTAAAGAAAAGCACCAAGTTTTTGCATCAATGAATGTTGATCTTCTGTCTCTGAAAAAAAGGAGAAACTTAAGAAATAAATCACACCTTTTGCATGCAGGTGATACATAGTCATTTGTTGTCAAATTTAAATCTGACTTAACATTTTTTAACCTTGCCATCATAATCTAATTGTGTGGAATATATAAAACCTTGAATCAAGTTTTATGACTATAAATATTAACTTTAATGTGAGTTATTTTGTTCAACTTAAATCTGTTGTTAAATCCTATATCTTTTTCTTCATTATATGTATAGTCACCCCTTTTTTCTCTATCTTTAGCTACCATACAGTCCTAAATATTCATCTTAAGCAGAAAGAACTGAAGCAATCCTCTATTTAATATTCTATTTCATTTTTTTTTTTTTTGGCCTTTTTTCTATTCAGTGAGATTTCTACTCTCTAGATTACCAATTAATAAAAAGATATAAAATCAACAAACAGATGGAGAACATAGGGCAAAGTCCCTAATAAAGAAGCTTGTGTCTTTGTGGAGTTTGGGGCCCAGAATTGTGGCAGTAGGAGCGTTTTGGCTCCCTACTCTGAAAGTTCCCCGTACTGCATTCTTTGGGTTTTTACAGAGGCTTCATTCCATTGGCACTGCTGATTAAATCATTGACCATTGGTGATGGATTCAACCTCCAGTTCCTCTTCCCTCTGCTCTTGGAAAACAGGGTTTAAGACTAAAAGCTCCAACTCCCTATTTTTGGTTGGTACCTTTGGCAACCAACCCCCAGCCCTAGGTGTATTCCAAAAGTCACTTCATTAACATTATCTAGTTGTAGTGGAAAGGGGCTTGTTATGATTAACAAAACACCCATTTTACTCTATGGCTTTGAAGTGATTTCAGAAACTGAGGACAAGAAACCAAGTATTATAACAAAAAATGCTCTGATTGCTTTATCACTAAGGGAATTCCAAGTGTGTTGGAAACTACCAGCTAGAAAATGGGGACAAAGACCAAATAGATATGAGAAATATAATTCTTATAAATCACAATATAACACATACCCAGAACAGAGGTCACATTTTGATATGATAATATTAAAGTCATGATTTCCACATAAGAAGAATAATTGCAAGGGTATGTATTTTAGAGAATAAGCATATTGGTGTAGACAAAAAAAGAGCTACAATTTGACAGGGTTAGGGGAGGTTTGCATGGTGGGCTTTACAAACTCAAAGACTAAAAGTAACTACATAGGATGGTCTGAACATAAAAATTCCTAACTGAAAGTGAGTCATGGCAGGTAGTCAAATCCTAGGCCTGTGACATCCCTGACAAAGGTCAATCTGTACCTTAAGCAAGCCTGTCTATTTTCTTTTTGCACCAAAGTTAACACACCTTTGAAATGTGAGAGTGATCTTTTCTAAACCCCTCAGGGCACAACCACCACACCAGAGCACAGACTATAGAACCCCTCATTGTTATCTTTTTTTCTCAAACACCATCTCTATGTGCTGGAAATATTCATTATTAACTACATTTTACCTACCAATATGAAAGAAGTATGTGTCTCTCTGTTTTAATTTTTATCCAGTCCCAGAGATTTCCTCACTTTGCTTTCTCCTACCCCCTAAATCTACCACCAACAGATTTTATGTAACCCTCTTTTTGTCTTCTTTTATTCTAATATACTGTAAAGCTACCATTCTTCAGAGCCTTTTCTCAATACTGAGATTTTACTTTCCAGCAACTGTCATCATTTTGGAGCTAGATATTAGGAAGAAAGTAACTGAGCCTGTTTTCTTCACCAGGAAGCTACAGCTTCACATTCCCCCCCAGGGAACCACAAGTCCATTCTCGCAGAACTCTGGGGGAAAGGATAGAACAAAAGGGGAAGGTAAGCACATGTGCAGTAAAAGTAAAAATGGCAGGGGTTGAGAGGTGCTTGACCATAGAGGCCTGTCAGTCTAACCTGAGATAAAGATCATTCACTAGGTATTGGACCCAATGCAAGCCCCTGAAATCTTGGGAAGCTGATTGGTTATTTTGAAAAGGCTTCTGGTTAAAGCCCTAGGTGAACAAAGAGCTCTCTCTCTCTCACATTTGGTGACCTGCACTCACTTCATTTTTTCACATTCTCTCCCACTTGGGAACACACGACCAAGCGGGTCTAGCCGCAACTGGGGCCCACAGACTGTGTGGGCTCCAAAAGACTAAGATTTAATATGAAACAGAAACTCTGGACACTGGCCTTTGTCTTGGCCTTGCTGAAGATAAGATTGGACTTTTTCATGGCAGAATGGAGGGAGATGGGACATTGAAAACCCAGGCCTGGAACTCCCTTGATTTTGCATCACAAATAAATCACCCTGAGACTATCTCCCATGCACTGATTCTTGAAATGCTTTTCTCATGATCAGAAGAGCCTAATTTCCACCCACAATAGAATGAGTTCTAAGGTTTGGCAGAAAAAAGTTGTTGAGAAAAGGAGAAAAAGTATTAGGATTTTATTTTCACAATCTAACATCTTGAATAAATACAGAAGGAAAATAATGAGAAAAAGAGGAGTATACAAATAATATCAAAAGAAAAGTATAATCATGTTATCCTAATCATGGATCTATACTTGAAATGACTTGAGTGAAAACTACATGTGCCTCTACACACACACACACACATACTGAATATACTTTATGTTATTTTATTGATCTGTAAGATGTTGGGAAGGAGTTGTTCTACCCCTGGAAACTATTTGCCCCATCATTAGATTTTACATGAGTCTGGATATTGTCAGGGAGAAAAAATTATTCTCTACCCTTCAAGGTTCTCTTGTCTGGGCTTCTGTTAATTAAATTGACATAAGACAGATCAGCAGGAGAAAAGTAAATTTAAGTTTAATAATATGTTTACCTCCTGTAGAGATGGGAGAGACCCAGGAACACTGAATAACTCATCAAAATGTAAGAAGCCATCAGCCTAAATACCACATTCATTTAAAAACTAAAGGAGATGTTGGGGCTGTAGAGTCAGTTATGGGAGGTTACCAGGAAAAGCACAGTGAACAAGGCTAAGGTTGTTACGCATTTAAGTTCATGCCTTCTCCACTGATAGTGGAGACAGGCCTGGTAGAGTGAGAAAAATAGCCTTACAGATGGAGATTTCCCTTACAAATGCAAATGTCTTTTATAAAGGGTAATTTCTGCTTGGTTTTCAGAACTTCTCCCATGTCTGCTTAAAATTTACCAGGCTAAAATAATCAATATCCCGAGAGGCATATTTTGAGTGGCAAACTCCTCTTCCCTTCAATGTCCAGGTAACAAGATCCTAATCATTTCTACCCTTGGAATCATGTCCTCACTAGTATTTGTCATTGTTAACTGGGAATGGCACCTGAGGTTAGATTTCAGTTCAGCAACCTCAGTACTTGAATTTGGCAAAGATCTCAGAGCCAAGGAACTCAAATTACAAGAGAAAGTTTATTTAAAAAGTCACAGAGATATAAAATGTGAGCCAGCTGGGCTACGTGGATGCAAGAAATGAGTTATGGAGGCAAAAGAAGGGGCCTTGGAGCTTAGGAAAAAGAAAGGTGGAGAAAACATACCTGGAGGGAGGAGAGGTGGAAAGGCATGCTCCATAGAGCTAGAGCTTTCCCGGGGGAAATAAGTGGGTGGGGAAGGGCACCGGCATGCTCAAGAGAGAAAAAGAGCTCTCGCTGGGTCTTTCATCTTGATGCCTTTATCTGGGTGTCTCAGGAGAGGGTCTCAATAGACTATTAATCAGCTTTCCATATGTGTGTCCTCAGGATCATGGTCTCTACTGATTGGTTAGCACCAAAGTAGGGGTCGTTAGCCTTCCCAGCTGCTCCTGATATCAGCCATGGTGTTGCCTCACCTGGCCTTGCTGCTTTTCTGGGCCTGAAGATAAAACACAACTGAGGTCTAGATGTTCTTTCTAGGGCTTAATGCTTAAAGGAGTGGTCATGTAAGGGCTTGTGTGGAAGTCATATTAGACTATTCTCCAGCCCCTCCTTGTTCCTCTTTTAAGGGCATCTACCACATGGCTGCTGATATGCCAGGAGAGGACAGGTAAAGGGAGGATCAGAACGACGTGACCAGGGAGACAAAAGGTCAGGGGGATTAAATCGCATGGCCGGTGATATGGAAGGGGAGGAAAGGTCACCCTGTGGTGAGGTCCCTCTATAGTTTTGCCCGCTGTTAGGTATCTGGAGATTTTCACCCCGGTGACCTTCCATACCTGGCCTATCATTCCTACACTGCTTATGTCTGTCTAACTGCTTACTACATGGAGCTTAAAAAGATTCTTTGTGACTAAAATAAATGGTCTTTTACAGCATAGTTCTGGGTTTGATGGTGTTTATTCCAGTAAATGTAGCATCCTGGAGGGATGCATCCAATCACATTCCTTTGAAAATGCACTTTGTATTGTACACAAGCTGTGAACTCAATGATATGGAATCTGCCAGATGAATTAAGCCAAGCTTCATGTATCTTTTTGTCATATTTATCTATGAGTAGAACTTTAGATCATATATAAGCTTCAATAAAATAATTTCTTTTTCTCTGCAAAATTATTTTAATATCTTTAATTTGGTAACTGAGTAAAATGTTATTGTAAATATTTAAATGACTCTTAAGGCAACAATTTCAAACTTTACCTATTTTTAAAATTTTTCCTGTGTTATGTTAAGTATAATTAAGGTACATTTTTCGTTATCCATTAAGCATTTGACACTGAACTAAAAAGGTCTGTTCACTGGTGGTCATCAAAGCTCAATAAATTGTGAACAGAAGTTTGCAGCAGAGAAAGTAAAATTTTATTCATAAGAAAATGGTGCCAAACCAGAAGTCATAGGTAAATAATTGGTCTAAAACTTACCAGAAAGGGAACCTGGTCCTTGGAAGATTTGCCTAAGGCCAGCCAGTAGTGTGTGGATTCTTGACTTTGTGCAGGAAAAATTTCACAAGTCCAGATGACTATCAGGGAACATTTATTAAAGCTGGTGACAATAAAGAAAGGGCTTAGTATAGAAGAATCAACAGGAGAGCCTTGGCTGGGCCACCCTGGCTCTCTGGGAAGTCAGTGAAAAGGAGGCCTTGGGGTCAGGTTCAGGGGACTAACCTTCAACAAGCTGCCACTGCCCCCATTTCTTCCCTAGTTGTGAGTCTCATGGGGTCCCTTAGAGTTTAGTATATGCATGCTTGTGTGAGAAGAAAAGGGATAAGTAATGGTGGGGGGATGCTCCCCAAAGGGAGATCACGTGCCGGGTCCTTTGTCTTGGGACTTTACTTCTCTTTTGCAGGCAGGGATCTTAAGGGAGGTCTCAGGGGAGGGTTTCAACAGAATATTCATCGGTTTACTAGGTGTGCTCCTTCAGGGTTGTGGTCTTCACTGATTGGTCAGTGTCAGGGCAGGGGGTCCTCAGTCACTACAGCTGGTCCTGGTGTTGCCTGTTATGTCCAAGAATCAGATCCCCTATGCAGCGGAAAGACAATCACTCCAGAGCTGATAATGTAACAGCAAAAGGGACTTTTATTCCAGCTAGCTGGGGTTCAGTCGTATCCAATGCAGTGGAATTCTGACTCGAACCCTGATCTAAATTTACAACAAGCTTATATAGGGCTACAGTGAGCAAGCAATCATTGTCCTTACAAGGGTTATAAATTCTTTAGGAAGGGTGGGCTCAGGATGTTTCTCAACCACAGGCGCCTGAAGCTTGAGTGCACCTGGTATTTGTCAAACCCACCGATTTAAGTTAATTTCTGGAACTGCCTCCACCCTCTGCAGTTTACTGAGTCACTCATGTATGCCTTTTGTCCTGCCCCGGGTCCTAGGGGCCTGCCTCTGTCTTGGTGGGTCTTCACATTGCCCACCAGGTTTTGCTGCTTTTCTGGGTCTGGAGCTGAAATATAACTGAAACCTAGATGTTATTTCTAAGGAGGTGACCTGTATCTACTGTAAATTGCTATCAATTTGTTCAGCTATCTGCCTCAGTTTCCCTATTCCACTTATCCTGGCTTACTGGCCCATCTCAGTACCAGGCTCCCCAATTAATCATAGCAACTGAAGGAGTTAGGGCCATTGTCTCTACTGATTGGTCAGAGCCAGGATATCGGGTAGTTTATCATTGTATCTGTTTCTGATGTCAGCCATAGCATTGTTCTGTCTGGTTGTGCAAAGGTGTGGTTAATTGAGATCCTTTCTGAGTTTGGAGCTGAAACACAACTGAGGCCTAAATGTTATCTTTAGTTGGATTAAAACTCTGTCTGTGATCAACATGTCACCAGAAAGGGATCAGGACTGAGGAGAGGCTGCCCCAGCACAGTCTGTAATGTGTGGGTTCTTGAAATTCTGCAGGAAAGATTTCACAACATGATTCCAGGTGATTTTGAGAGTATTTTTTTAAATCTGGAGACAAAGAAACAAAGGACAGTCTTAAGATTGGGGGGGGCAAGATCACAGCAACAGGAGTGAGCATAGGCAGAGCTGCTTTTTGTCTCACTCAAAAGTTAGGCAAAAGAAGGGCCCTTGGAGACATGTTGGGGGTTAACGCAAGAGAAGCTGCCTCTGTCTGCTGCTCCCCTGGTTGCAAGTCTCTTCAGGACCCTTAGAGATTAGAGGAAAGAGAACAAAGATGTATGACTGAGGAAGAGCCAAAAAGGCATGTACATGCTCCAGGAAAAGCACGCACTGGGTCCTTTGTCTTAAAAGTTTTCAAAATAAATGAACAAGGAATCTAATGAACAAAATAAACATGAATAAAATGGAACCAGAGGCATGGAAACATGGAACATACCGGAGAATCTCAGAGAGAAGGGTGAAGGGGGTGGGAAGAGAATAACCAAAGAACTAATGTGCATATATGCATGACACATGGGA